AACCAAATCACACACATTTAGGCTGTTATGTGACCTCCTTTTGATAACTAATGTAACATTTTATCCACTTGCATTCACTGAGCCTCCCCTGAAACTGTTGCCAGCCTGGCGAGGCCCGCTGGATCCTGAACATGCTCGACCCAGTGATTCCACAAACACGTGGGATCTAATATGTTACTGAGTGAGCTTTACAGGACGTTACAATCTGACAGAGCCAGGCTAGCTGTTTCTGTGTTTCTGCTCTTTATGCTAAGCTAACTGCCTGCATGAGAGTGGTACCAATCTTCTCATCTAACTGTAGGGAAGAAAGTAAATAAGTATATTGCCCTTCACTACTTCTTTTTGGAAACTTTGGGTAACAGGAACAACACAGAGTTCACATATATGAAATAACCTACAACAGTTTCAGCTATCTTGCCCTCATGAGGGTGGCGTCACCTTTATGACGGCAAGCTGGAATAAAGATGCGGAATAAATGTAAATGTTAACCATCACTTTTGCATTAACTCTTTTCGGTTGAGCACTTTTGACATGTGCAATCAAGCAGTGAGCAAACAGCTCCCTGTCAGGGTAGAAAAGGCTGTCAGGTTTGTGTTTGTTTGCTATTGATGCATGTGAAGAGAAAGGCTGGGTGTGCCTAAGATAACATAGGCTGATAAAACCTGTCCAGTGTGGTCCTGGAATGCCAAACATTCTACATGTTGCCCTCAGTAATAGGGTTGAATGATTTTGACAACAGCTAATGAGTGTTTTCTAGGGATCAGTACAGTAAATTCCTCAGTCGGAAACGAGGATTTAACTAAAGCAACAAACTACATGTGATGTCAAAGCGGCCCGGCTACTGAATATTTTAATACCGGTATGAATATGACATATCTGCGTGAACATATGTGTGTGTGTTCTGCAGTCTTTCTCAGAAGGAGTCACATTTTTCTGTGCAGCCAGATCTCAACTGGTTGTCACTTGTTCGAGGGGTGAGTTTCGGATTAGGAATTGTGTTTGTGATGAAAGTGACAGTTAGGACAAGGATTAGATAAGAGTTTTGGTTTTGGTTTTTGAGAGGTTTGCATGCACACAGTGGAGAGCTCGGTTAGGAAAGTATGTTGTAAATAAAGAGTCTTTAAATAAAATAAATAATAGGAACAAAAACACATAATCTTGGCAATTTATATTTAGGTGCTAACACCTAAATATTTTTATATTTTTTTTTTTTAAATACCTTTTAAGAAAACATATAGACATTTATTAATAGTGTGAGGCAGTCGGAGGCTCCAGGAGCAGAGTGAGCTGGGCGTGGAGCTGAAATCAGTGGACAATGGAAACACTATTAAAAAACATTCCTGGCCCGGTTCATTGGTTTCAGGCAGGCTGGAAACAGAATGAGCAATATCCTGCAGGACCTGTGGAAGTGGAGAGCTGAAGAAAGAAATCTTTTGCTCATAAGTGGGCGATGAAAGAGATATGAAGAGAGTTACACTGAAATGAAAGGAGCGACTTTCCAAATAACCTGCGCCTGTGATTTTGAACAATAGGTAGTTTGTGTTTTTATGGATGATACAGATAACAACCAAACATGGTGTGTTAGGTTGATTAATTGTAGTAAATTAATAAATGTCTACATGTATGTTTATGGCATCAGCATTAAAACCTTTCCCAGTCTTTTTAAAGTGAAAGCTGTTTTTGTTGTCATGAAATTTAGGAGCTCTTTTTTTTTCACACCTGTGAAGTTGCAGCAGGAAGTAGGCGTATTCTAGGGTTTGGTGACAGTCACAGAAATTGGCCAACACAACCTCACCCCTTCTTGGCTGAATGCCAATGAATGACAGATGCTTTTCACCACTTTCAGACTGCCTGAACAACTTCTGAGTTTTATCAGTTTGTAATTGGAGACTAAAGTCAGTTTAGTGCTGTTCAGTTTAGGCCCAAAGATCAGCCTGCATAATTCTTAACAAAGACTCTTAACAAAGACAGTGACCCCAGATTGTGCCTCTCATATATTAAATGATAAATGGACTGTACTACTGCACTTTTACACTACATGCCACATTCACACACATTCATACAGTGATAGAAAAGCAAATCACAACAGAAACTAACTCATACACCCACATTGCTACATCGATGCTCAGCGCTGGGAGCAATTTCAGGTTCATTATCTTGCTGAAGGACTAACGACACGCAGTGGGAGTAACCGGGGATTGAACCGCCAACCTTCTGATTAGTGGATGACGCACTGCCGACCATTAAATTTGAATCACTAGAGCTAGTTTAACATACCTACCTAACATACATATAAAGCTCTTCTAACTGGGATAATCTGGATGAAAAAATATTCTACTTGTTTCCCAAGTTGCTTTTTCCTAATCCAAATAAACGCTTTAGCTGGAAATTGCATATTTCCATTCAGAATTTTGTTGAAACCAAAATAAAATTATAATTAGTTGATCTAGACAGAAGTGGGCTGTATCCATGGACAACAGGAGGCACAATACAGAGACCTGGTGGACAGGACGTATTCCAATTTCTGCTTGTTTTTTTTGGCCTGAAAACGGGACTGAAAGGAGCATCTACGTTCTGATTATTACCTTTTGCCTGAGAAACAAATAACCATTTGATACCTGTCCAAACCTGTGTCTTACAGATCAGTAGAAGCATTCAGGATGTTGCAAGCAAATAGCTCAGGTAAAAAGTACCAATGCATTGCACAAGCCTATTCAGGTTTGTTGCAGTGAGGTGTAATGCTGTAACATAAAACTATCTACATGTAGAGGCTGATTGCAGAATAACACATGTACTTGTGTACATGTACAAGCTTGTGTGGCTCAGCACTTTAAAGCTTTCATTGTTCATGATCATTTAAAAGTAATGCACCATGTAAAACAGCAGCCTGTGTGGTTTGTGTTAGTTTAAAGGGCACGAGGAGCAAAGTGTTTAGTTGTCAGTAGCAGAGTGAGAAATATCAAAAGATGAAAACATCATCTGAAATAGCTAATCTCTTGGTCTGGAATGTGTTGGGTCAGAGGGAGTAGTCTACGTGTGTTCATCCAAAGATAAAATTCCTGAGAAAAAGTAATATTACTCAATAGGAGGAAAATATAAGAGCTGGAGGGAAAATAGATCCCAAGCTGGGAAATTGCAGT